TCTCAGGCCCCCACAAAAATTATAAAAAAACATTCTACTTTTGTCAGGTTCCCACAAAAATTATTTAAAAAAAACATTCAATATTTTCTCAGGTTCCCACAAAAATTATAAAAAAAAACATTCAATATTTTGTCAGGTTCCCACAAAAATTATAAAAAACATTCTATATTTTCTCAGGTTCCCACAAAAATTATAAAAAAAAACATTCAATATTTTCTCAGGTTCCCAGCTCGAGATGATCTGCACGATGGCGCCTGACACGAAGAACATCGACACCGTCAAGTGTCAGGAGAGGAACATCGCCATCTACCACGTGGGCGAGTACTGCACGGACTCACACGCCGAGTTCATCTCAGCTCTCCTGCTGACCACAGCTCGCAGACTCATTGAAGGTTGGGAACCTTTTAGTGCTGAGCTGTTTTATGTATTCTTAAAATAATATTGATTTTCTTTAGAATTATGTGTTTTTTTTAAGTTGGTGGGGGTATAACTTTGGGCAAAATGCTATTTGTGACGATGTATGTACAAAGTCAATATAATGTTTTATTAATTTGTAAAAGAATCCTAACACGTTACCCTAAAACAAAATAGAGAAACAATACCACATAAAGCTATTTAAGTTGGTGTACATTTTTGTTGTAGAAATTAGGTTGTGGGCATGGTGTTTGATGCTACCGCTGAGCATTGAATCCTCAGCCCCATCTTTCTCTGATTGTAGGTTGTTGTTTTTTTTTTTGTGGTTAAGTCTGGTGATCTCAAGGTTAATTCAGCATGGACTCGCGGATGGGTGGGCAGTGTTTCTTCCAGACTTTTTCTCCGGGGGGTGCACTTGAAATTTTCGGAGGGGTGGACAACAATTTCCAGGGGGGGGGGGGGTAGACACTGTCAAAAGTATATACTTTCCATATAAATTCCATTTCGTTCCGCCCCCCCCCCCCCCCCCCCCCCCGAATAGATGCCTGAAAGAAACTCTGTGTGTGGGTCTAACGGCTGTGTGGGTCTCACGGATAAACCACCGCAGACATTTTAACATATCAATTTTATGGTGACGTAATGTAATAACCATGTAACCAAGTCCACGACCCCCCCCCACCCCCATGGGTCCCCCGATGATATGTTAAGCCACTGAAAGCAGAGCAGTATAACTAGCTTCACTTCGAGGCAGTGGCGTAGCCAGGATCGTCTCAAGGGGGGGGGGGTTCCAATTTTTACCCGGGGACAAACTTTCGATTTGCACCCCCCCCTCAAACTTTTTCTATATACCGAGGGGTCTATGGGGGGTATGACCCCCCTAAACCCCCCCCCCTGCCTACGCCACTGCTTCGAGGTGTTCATAATAGATACAAGTTTCTTATTAATGTCATTTTTTCTTAATCTGAAAGTTTATTTTTGGTATCTTCGTAGGAAACGACGAGGTTCTACGCGGCGATTGGGGACTTTGGCAGCCGATGCATTTACTGGGTACCCAGTTGACAGGACGCACCCTCGGGTTTCTGGGAATAGATCTAGTCGGCTTGGGCGTGGCCCAACGATTGAGGCCTTTCGGAATAGAAAAGATTATTTATTTGTAAGTTGTTTTTTTTAAAGATAACAGAGTACCCGTGTTTTGTTGTTGTTTTTTTTTTTGGGGGGGGGGGGGGGGGGGTTGCCATTTCAGCTTAATGTTTCTCGGTTTTATTTCTTGCTGATATTAAATCCCCAAAGAAAGTACTAAATAGGAAGAAAAAAAATCTGATTAAAAAATAAAATAATGCTGCTCAGTTTTCATTCATTTTTTTTAAATTTTAAAACCCAAAGAAAATAGACTATACAAGCAGTGTTTTATTTTTCCTCCAAAGTGACAAAGATGAACATCCTTTGGCAGTGAACGTGTCAGCCCTTAAAGTGGACATTGAAGAAATCTTTGCCAAATCTGATTTCATCGTCTGTACATTGGAGCTGACCCCCCAGACGGAGGGTATTGTTAACGCCCAGGTGAGTAATAGTCTGCTAGTCTTTGTTTATCTCTTCATTAGTCGTGTTGCCGACAAAAAAAAATCATTCATACACCTGTAGAGTTCTCTTCATTAACTATCCTCTTTATTTGTTTAGTACCTAGGAATGTGTAAACCGGAGTGTATCTTCATCAACACCGCCAGCGCGGCACTCGTCAACCACGACGACCTCCTACAGGCGCTGAAAGAGGAGAAAATCGCCGGCGCCGGTCTGGACAGCACCATCCCCGAACCCCTGCCCCAGGACAGCGAGCTCCTGGCACTGCCCAACGTCGTGGTGACGCCCCACATGAGCTCAGCCACCCACCGGGGTCGCACGCGCATCGCCATGAGACTGGCCAACTACATGGTCAATAACCTGGCCTGATGGGAACCCGTGTGAGCACAAATCTGTTCAACTATCCAATGAATTTCTACATCGTTATGTTTAGCCACTTTGTGGTTACATTAAAGAGAAAAAGATTCCTTTAAGCATTGTTTTTCTAATAATAGTGCTGTATGTTTTAAGTTATTTCAAAGAGCACGAGTCACGTATTATGGCAAACGACCAAAAGGCAGCCCCAGATAGGCACAACACAACTCACAACTTCGCCCCCTCCCCCATATTAAGACAGTTCCCACTCCCTCCCCTCATTCCATATTAAGACAGTTCCCACTCCCTCCCCTCATTTCAAATTAAGACAGTTCCCACTCCCCTCATTCCATATTAAGACAGTTCCCACTCCCTCCCCCCATTCCATATTAAGACAGTTCCCAATCCTGTCCTGAACCATTTGTATATAACACTGCCTTCTCCAGCTAATTTTAAAACACAAGAGCCAACACCGAAACAAATATGGATAGCTCCATGTAATATCTTTACATAGCACACATGTTCATTACGCCCCATGCATAAATAATTAAAAAGCAATTAATGTGTTCAAGTCCACACAAGAAAAAAAAGTAAACATGATCTAGAAAAAAAAATCTTTAATTACAATGACATAAAAGTGATGTAAATGAAAGGTAAAGCTACATTTTTTAACATAAAAATTCTCTGTTATAAATAATTCTTTGTAATTTATAAGCTGAGAAAGTAGTGGAGGACAAATATGAACACTTGACCAGAGAAATAAAAAGCATAATACAGTTAGGATATACATGGCATGTGTCCATTTATGTGGATCACAAACTACAAGAATTATGAGCATCTGTTGATGAATGTAGAAACAACTATTATCTACCCCATCTAGGAGTTATAACATAGTACTATACTTAGCTCCATCATCATGAACCAATGGAATCTGTTTAAACAATACATTATCAAAACATTTTTCCAGTCAAAGTTTTAATAAATAAACATTTCAAATGTTTGTGAATAAAAATGTTTAAATAACTTTCTGTTGCTTTTAGAAAGTATCAAAATACATTATTTGTTCATGTATAAGTTATTGTGTACTCAAAATTTATTTCTGTCTTTCCTTTTAAAATTTAAAAGGAATGTAAAGAGAAATTTGTTTTAAAATTTTATACTAAAATACAGGTAAACAATAATCAGAATAATTTGTACATGATAAAAAAATCATAAGCTCTTTTTAAAATATAGTTGTACTTAGTAATAATTTACATTTTAAACACGCAGCCAAACATCCAAGGGAAATAACACAGAGGTAATACAAAACTTGAAGTTTAGGTGTCAGATGTAAATACACTGAATACTAAAATATTTTCTTCACACCTTTTGAAGAAAATTATACAAATACAACTTAAGACTAAATTTTTTTGTAAAGTCTTAAAATTCATACACAATGTTAAAGTACTAACAAGTAGTTACATTAAAAAAGCTACACTAAAATATCTTGCAGGGTAAAAAATCTTTGATAAATAAATACATTTTACATTTTTTTAAAAGACTCTAAAGACAAAATGTGTGTGAATTTATAACATTAATGCTTTGCAGAAAGAATGTTTTAAATTTTTATACCACTAATAGCAGTTATCAAACTGTTTGACATTTATATCAGTGATATAAAGTTGCATTGGCACCATTTCTACAGTTTAATAATTACATTAAAAAAAACAGAACTACACAAATTTATTCTTGACAAGGAAGAAATAGCTACAAAAATGTGGTCAAGCAAATTACAGCCTGTTAAAACATTATATAAAGGTGGAGAAGGAATTCAGTACTTTCTCTAGCAGTTCAGCTATGCACATTTGCAGGTAAAATTTGAATTAGGTTCACCTTCAACCTTTCAAACAAGGTTTCAGGGAGGTTACATAATTAATATATACTTATTCTCTAAATAAGGTGGCCAAGATGTTCTTAGATGTGTTCAGGGCCATGTCCAGCCTAGCTTTAGTGGAGTTGGTGGCCAAGTGTGGGGTGACGATACAGTTGGGCAGGTGGATCAGTGGATGGTCTGGTGGCAGTGGCTCTGGGTCTGTGACGTCAACGGCGGCAGCGGCAATCTTACCTGTCTTCAGGGCTTCCACCAAATCGTCCGTGTCCACGACCGGACCGCGGGATGTGTTGACCAGAATGGCTGTTCGTTTCATCTTCTCAAAGACCTCTTTATTGATCATCTTGCGAGTCAGACCAGTCAGCGCACAAGAGATGACCAGGAAATCAGACTCTCTAAACAAAGTGTCTCTGTCAACAAACTCAGCGTTAAGATCATCTCCAAATGATGCACGCACCATGTCATGGTAGAGAATTCTCTTAACTCCAAATGGTTTTAAGCGACGAGCAACACCAAACCCAACACGACCAAAGCCGAGAATTCCAAGGTTTCTGTTGACAATTTCTGTGCCACAGATCCACATTGGCTTCCAGAGTCCCCACTTGCCTTCTTCTACTGCTTGCATACCTGAATAAGTTATTTTAAACATTAGTTAGTCTAACAGTTTACTAGTGAAAACTAACAAAATAATCAGTTAATTTATAAATGAGATATAAGTTATTAATCTCTACAGAAAAGATATATTAGCAATATTTATTTAAACTAATAGATGATAACTTTTTCATTCGAGTCAATTAAGAAATAATTTAAGTTTCTATTGTCATAGAAAAAAAAACTACAGCTGCGAGTTTTAATAAAAGTCTGAGTAAGTTGACAACTGAGATAAGATATGAACTGTTATCCACAAAAAGAAACCATTAAAGTTAAAAAAAAACATACATATTTTTAATTTCAATGCTTAAAATATTTTTCTAAATAGGTCAGAAGATTATTATTAGTAATGTTATGCGGCAAGAAATTTAAAAAGACTATACATTAAAAAAGTAAGACATTTGAAAAGATAAGATATATAAAAAGACAAGGCATTTACAAAGACAAACCTTCCAAGCATCTTCTTGCTGCCATCAACAACAAAGTGACAGTAAACTCTGCTGCGCTGTCAGAGGCCACATCAGGCGTGTTTGCTACCACAATATCACGCTTTTTACATTCATATGCACTGATGTGATGTGTACCCACAGACATGGTAGCAACAGTCTTCAGCTGGGGACCTGGAGAGGTTTACAGACATGTCAGGAGGTTTGTGCATGTCTGACTTATGTCAGTAGGTTTGTGCATGTCTTATGTCAGTAGGTTTGTGCATGTCTTATATCAGTAGGTTTGTGCATGTCTTATGTCAGTAGGTTTATGTTGTCTTGTGTTTTGTGCATTTCTAATGTAGCCTTTAGCCAAGATGTTTTTAAAGGTACAAGTATTTTTTGTGTTGCTTGATAGCCAGTACTGTGCATAAGTACCATGCAGGGTTAATATATGTTTAAATGCAAACACCTTTTTGTTTGAAATGAACTATAAATTATTGCCTTGAAAATGTCTTACTGTTGCTTAGATGAATTACTTTTATTATTTTGGCATAAAATATTATTAATCAGATTAATTATCCTTTTTACTAATATACATTTTAAAGTAAGTTTATTGATGGTATACATTACATTACAGAAATTCTTACCTGCAGCATCTAGAACCTCTGCATCAATGATGTCACTAATAGTGCAGAAAATGGCTGCTACACCTTTCACCTTTTTCAGAAGCTCATCTTTAGGAATGACTTCCTCACTATCCCAGATATCCAGATCACAATGTTCTTTTAAAAGTGCTATAGCCTCATCGTGAACTTTTCTTGTAACACATACCTTGGGCCGAGACATTGCTCTAGATACAAGAATGTAAATACTGCTATAAAACACCTTTCTCTAATAAAAGTATACTTTCAGAACAACTTTAACTCTTTCTATACCAGAGGCTTTTCCACCTCCTGACCTCATTATTTCCGTGACCCAATTTTTTTATACACCCCTCACCTACTTAAACAATTATACCTCCTATGTTTTTCTAACCAGATTTATGTATTATACATCAAAATGAACAGAAATGAAATTTCTATAATAGTAAATGAAGATAATTGTGAGTTATGTTAAAGAATGTAGGTTTTTTACTTGTTAAATGACTTGTTAAAGAAACAAACACTAGCGGTGTCGAGCCGTACCTTGCCTACTATGAAGCTGGCCCAAGCCGCATCTCGCGGCTCATGGGACGGATTGAGTTAAACAAAGATTGATAGCTAAATGTAACTGTTTTTCAAAACAATGAAAAACTTCTTAGCTCCCCTTCTAAGATCCATAAGGGCAAGGTGACTGTTTTTTAAGTGGAATATGTGGCACAGTGTAAAGTATAAATAAAAGTAACAATGTTGGATGGGCATAGGGATAGTTATTTTTAATCAAAAGTCTACCTTGGCCCTAATCCTAATATCAATATTGGCAGAAAGTAAAAGCTCGATAGGCTTAAATTATTTTGAAGATCAGATGTTCCATAATATACTTATGATATTAGTTCATATTAGCTTTGCAATACTGCCATACTTTTTTTTTAGTAAAATCACTTAACCCTTTGAGCCCTGGCCTCCATGGCCTAATTTCTCCCATTTCCTGAGCTCCCAGGGCCAAACCATTTTTCACTTATCTGCTTCTAACTTTGCCTATGGCAGGAAACAGATTGGTACCGCAAAATGCATATTCGATCTTCGCCGTTCATAAACTTTCTAATCAGACATCGTTTGGGGATTTTGTTTATACTAATAAATAGAGCTATGTTTTTACAAGCTTCGTTAGCAACATTTTTGTGGAATACGTTTTTTATGACATTTTGTGCCACGGCGAAGGATGCGAAGTATGCAAATCTAGACGGAATGGATCTACTTGGAAAAGTACGTGTACTGCACTAATAAGGTAAGAAATAATATTTTGTAAAAATAACTATTATTTTTATGGATTTTTCATTAGAAATGATTGCTGTAAATTATGAAAGTAAAAAAAGTATATTTGAATGTGTTTTTTACTTTAATTTGAACAAAGTGAATGGCCATAATTACGACACATCGGCGTCGTTGAAAGCGGGGATTTCAGTTAATTTTTTATGGATATAAAATTGTATTTTTTTCCTCCGAGGCATGTATTTAAATAACAGTTTAGTTAAATCTATTTAATTCTGTAAAATATAAGTATTATTTTGCCGTAGATACTTTTAAAAAAAAATTTATGATTTTCTGTCGGGGAAAATCGATATTCGCACCATGCATGCACACGTAGTAAAACTAGACTTATCTTTAAGCCATTTGTTTTAAATTGAAATTAATAGATAATGTAATTATTTCAAAGTAAAAATTTTCCGTCTGAAATTGGGTTCTAATCTTCGCCCACTGAACCAGCCTACGCACGACATTCGCGCGAGTCTGTTTCTTCGCAATAGTCTGTATAGTGTCGAGGGCTAATTCTAAAAAGAATCGAGTCCTTACTAATCTAATGTTTATTAAACCGTTTTGAACCGTTTGAGATAATCAGACCAAATTTGGTATCCAGACTCAGGATCAAACATCAAAGCAGAAAGATTCTGAAATTCTTTATTTGTTTATAATGTATGAACAGAACAATGTATATAAAACGAACACGTAATTATTGTTTTGATAGAACACAGAAGAAACCAATTTTCATTTAGTAAGTATTTTGTTATTATTGATACCTGGCCATACTAGTTCATCGCCAGAAGTCCACTTTTGTGTGATAACTTTCAAAACAGTTATCACTGCCGGACCCGATGCAAAGAAAACATTTGCATGTTTTGCACCAGTAAACAGTTGTTTTTTTCGTTTCGGCAAGTCTTTGTCCTTGGCACCACGTGCATCAGAACGTACTTGAACAGTTTCATTGTCACTGTCAATTTCAATGTCACTGAGTTCAGTCTCAAATTCAACGTCACTATCATCACAATATAGACCAGGAATATTATCTTCTTCATCAGAATCAATAAGTAGTTGTATTGCCTGAGTTGCAGTCATTCTACTTCTTTTGTTGATATTTCGGTCTTTTGCTTTATCTTTTGCACCAACTTTACGTGCTGAAGTCGATGGCTGTGGCTCAGCTTTTCGTTTCGGCAGCATTGCAACGAAATGTAAACATTCACTTTTCCTAAAATCTATTTTTAGAATCATAATCACGCACTAAAAAGACATATGCGCAGTTTTAGTCAGTCTTCCGCTAATTATATTTAATTAGACGGTATACCGGCCGCTAGGAATATGACGCTAGATCATAGGGCCGGAAAACCGGCTTTTCAGACATATATGCCTAATGTTGAAGCCGGTTTACCGGCCTGGCGGGCTCAAAGGGTTAAGCCTACTTAGTTAGTACTTAGCAAAATGCATAAAAAAGCTTGGGAAAATTGCCTGCTAATGTCAATGTAGCTAGTCTCATAACGCGAGTTGAATTACCTCCCCTGACCCGCTTTTTTATGGCCACTTTCTAGTTCGTTTTTTTCGATCGCGTCTCGGCACTGTTGCTAAAAATAGCATTCGCGCAATACCATACGGGTAAATCTGTTTGGCGTCTGCTACACGTGATAGATCGTTGAATGGCCGACAAGCTGATATAAAAATTATTGCGACCGGATGCGATTTTCGTGGAAATTGAGCTAGATTTAGCAAAAGACAGCTATATTTGTGTAAAATATTATTATTTATACTTCTACTTACACAGATATTTTGATAACTGCAGTTCAGCCGTCCATTTTTCTTTTAAAATGTATCTTTAGAATTTCTGTACCTTTTGGCAATCGGTCAGGAGCATTTGCGCACTAAACCCACCCCCCTACGGCAGTTCCGATTTTTTTCCCAGTGAACTCGTACTGACCTCCCACATAGCTAAGATAGTACATTGATACTGATGGGAAAGCCTCTAAATCTGTATTCCTACTAGAGATCTAGAAATAAATCTAGATCGTGGAGTTTTTATAATGACTTTTAAATTGAATGTCTCCAGTTTAAGATATTTTTTTTTCAAAACATAGCTACTTTTAGTACTATATTTAAGTATTTCAAACCCTTTTGGTAGTTTTTTCTTAAACTTAGACCTAGTGATTAGATATCTATATTTTGTACTTATAACTTGCAGGCCTATTAAAATAATAATAAAACAGTTTGCTTGATAACTTCATTAGGTCATTTCATAAACACAAATGTTATAAACATATAAAAATCACAAAACCATAGGTAATATCTGAATTCTGTAGCCTACCTTACATTTAGGCTAATACTGAATTAAAAAGAAATTACATTAAGGTTTGAAATTAATACAACTTGTAATTAAGAAAGAAAGCTTCAATTCCAAATACTACAAGATATAATAACAAACAATGAAACAAATTCAAAGCTTTTTTCAACCCATTTAGTCGAAAAGATTTTTATTTTTTCCGATACTGACCAAAATAAGTTTTTAAAGCTTAGGCCTAATGTTTTTACAAACATAACTCAATTTTATTAGGCCCCTGTAAACATTAATTAAGATTCCTCTGTAGACAAAGCAATCTATTTGGCAGATGAAGTAGAGTTCATGTTTCTTGACCTCTGCATATGAAGTGATTGTCCGTGTGGTCAGCGATATTAACAGCCGCCTTTACTTTTTACCTTTAATTTCCCCAATGTATATCAGGTACCCATCAGACATGGGTGGACTCTGAATTTTATTAAACAAACATTTTGATATAGGCCTAGATCTATAATCTATAACATTCCAAACAACATCTGTTCTGTAGAATTTACCTTTCTGCTTCCAAATGCAGTATTTTCCAATTGAAAATTCATCACAAAACATACAATAAATTATATAAATGGCATTTTATAAATTTATATAAACTTTTTACTTTCACCTTGGTGTAAAAAAATGTAGGTATAAGCAAACTGATTTCAATAGTAAGAAAGAATCATGTCTTTTCTTGCTTACTAGCTTTAAAACAAGTGAATTTGACTTTTTACCTGCGTTTTTGGTCGCGTTTCTATATATTTTATTTGCGACACTAAAAAAATTATATTTAATCAACCGTTTATGCTAAATTAATAAAATTGGTACTGTTGGATTGCATTTTTAAAGCTCTACAATTATATGCTATTCTTTTTATAATTTGAAGAAAATTGAATTTTTATGAGACTAACTAGTCAATGCTAACCTTATCCCTAACCACTACCCTACCCTACCATAAGCGGCCTAAGTCTAGCTAGACTCTACTAGATCTAGATCATCTAGATCTATAATAATAGTCTAGAATCTATATATTTAATTAATTATATTAACAATAACAACTAACAACCTGAACCAGAACAAGTAGGCCTACAACTACAACTGTCTGTTATGTGACTTATGTCTGTACAAGTACAAGTCAAACCAATCCGGCTTGTTTCAGGAAGTTTCTTAGAACAAGACCCTGCATATGTTATGTAAATAACTCTAAACTTACAACTGTATGTCTTCTTATTAATTAATTATTAATTTACCTTTTTTAAGTAGATCTAAATAGAATATCAAATATCTGCTTAAAAATGTAACCTGAAAAGCAGATTTTGTTTTTACTAGTGAAGGTAGGCTTGACTTGCAACCTTCACATCAAAACACAGGTCAAAGACGGAAGAACAAGGTGAAGGACGCCGGTTTTATTCCGGTCCTTTCAGGCTTTTTATCTCTGAAAATAGTACTGCGATTTACCAGCATCTATGCTAGGCCTATTTTAAGGTTTTATGAATTAGATCTAGAATCTAGGTCTAAAAATCTAGACTACATTTATATTAAATTGTTACTCTTTTGAAAAACCATATTTTTTAAAATGAATTGCTCTTATAACATTGATGATTTAATTAATTAATAATAGGATAATCTACATTCTAAGTTTCTAAAGCTTCATGAAGTTCACAGAGATGTACATTTTTACTTTCTCGTATATACGAAGTATAGAGAAAGTATTGTAATCGTGCACAAAAATCAATTGAAATTTTAACTATTTTCACAGTATTACACCTCAGTCCTTCATCACATTCGAAGTATAGAGGACTTATTTTAATCGGGCAAAAATTATCAATCCAGATTTATCAAAATTAAAAGGTTTTATGCGTATTCCAGTCTGAAAAACTGGGCTTTGCAATTCTGTCCGTATGTCTGTGTGTCTGTGTGTGTGTGTGTCCGTGTGTAAACACGATAACTTGAGTACCGTTACAGCTAGGTTGATGAAATTTCATATATAAGTATTTTATCAAAATCGTAGATCCGTATCAACTTTTGAGCGATTTCGGATAACCGGAAGTGGTACTTTTTCTACTTTGAATTTTTCAAAAGCCTACAACTTTAGTACTATTTCAGATAGATAAATGAAATTTGATATGTAAGTAAAAGATCTAATTCTCTACCTTCTGTCAAATTTTGAGAATTTTTCGTTGACTGGAAGTACTTATTTAGGCTACTTCCGATTTCTCAAAAAACTAATGTAAATTTTAAAAGTACTAATAATATTGCGCACTATTATGCGCTTTTTTATTCGCGTTCACTTGGTGTGCAATTAATTTGTCTACGATATTTTATTCTATTTTTAAAACTTTAAGTATTTAAAATGGATTAAAAATCATGTCTATAGCCCGAGTTCCCATCCCCTGTTATTTTATATAAGAATATTCGAGAAAGTTTAGGGGAGATCACTCCCGGTTTATTAACGTAACATTTATTTAATCACCCCTGCTCCACTAATGATTTGATTACATTTACATCTGTGACCGGGGTAGCCTAACTGAGGGAGGATAATCGAACGACAAACACGCAGAAAAGATAAAACAGAAAAATGACAAAAATACCAACAGTAGACATAATAGGTCTAGCCGCTAGCGGTAGAATTAAATTATATTTTTTGCAAATACCAAAATCATTGTTTGAATGAATATAAACAATGAATAGGCTTACGCAGAAAATCTAATTTGTATCATAACATTTTAAACTAGGTTACTTACAGAGAAACGAATATCTTTAAAGCTTCTTTATTTTAAAAAAATCGTCAAAAGATAAAGTAACCAGCTAGATCTAAGAAGATCTACGAATACAACTATAACTGTAGGGCTATAGGCCTACCAGAAAGTGTGTGTACTCTAGGCTAGCTATTTCTGCTTCCCCTGGGTTATAAATACTATTTTGTTGTTTACATTCGTTTCAAGGTTGCCCGTGTGTTCAAAGTGCAGATGGTTAAAGAGAAAAAAAACTGAGGGAGGGGAGGGAGGGGGGGACTAGCTGGATTGATAATGCCATAGCCTAGCATTCTAATATTCAGCAGCATAGATTCCCATTTCTCAATCCACTTCCACCCATTGCTAACACTACTATCTATAATATTTATTATGAATATTATTCTCTTAATATCATTCTTTTAAAAAAATTCATGTATGAAGCGGACCCATTTCCTCCCATCCTCATCAACACATGCTACACTTGCTTAGTCGGTCTAATCGGAGGCGTAGCGAGGGGGGTGCGGACCGCACCGGGTGATACCATTTAGGGGGGTGACACCAAGGCAAAAAATAGCAAAATATATTGAGAAAAACTTGAGGGGGGGGGTGCAAATCGAAAGTTTGAGGGGGGAGGGGGTGCTAATCGAAAGCTTGAGGGGGGGGGGGGGTGCAAATCGAAAATTTGAAAGTTTGTCCACGGGAAGGGTCGCTACGCCTCTGGGGGGTGACACCATTAAGTGCCGCACCGGGTGACACCCGACATCGCTACGCCACTGGGTCTAATAAAATAGCTAATGTAAATTGTAATGTAGGCCTACAGGCAGAAGCTGCAAAAGGGGAGTTGGAACCCACTCCTCCAATGGACCTTGAATATGCTCTCGGGTTCCATAAGTTTACAATTTTAAAATCAGGCAGTTCGTCCATATAGACGTAATCGTATTTCTGTATATATAGGGGTGGCAAAACTGAGTTCTCATAAGTATGGGTAGGGTTGCATTTTCCAGGATGAAGTCAAGCTTATATGCGTGCAAAGAGAGACAGAAAAATCCCTATCGTACAACACTTCCCCTGGAATTTTTTGAGAGCCCCCCCCCCTTGTATGACAGACCCTTCTTAATTGTAGGACGGGATTTCTTCCAACGCAATTAAATATTACGTGTCAATATAATATGCGCCACATGGCCCCGCATGTTTTTCTTACTGGATTTGCTTCCATCGCATTTGCCCATCCAAGAACAAAATTCAAGACAACAGTTGTTTGCTTGTTTGTTTGTTGCTTTTTTTCGTTTTCTCTCCTATATGGGTTGCTGTCCCCATTTTACGAGCCTCTTCTACCCACGTTTCGAACTCGGAATTTCTGGAGTAAGCGATCACATATTCACACGCTCTCCAGCCCTACTATATCAACTCCAACTTTAACTATTAGCCGCTCTTCTTACCCTTACCCCGGACGTTTCAAGGCCATCACCCCCCCCCTCCCCGATTGAACCCTTGGTAAATGCTTATATATGATACTCCTCGGTGTAACCTTAATTTAAAGCTTTGGAGAAATAAACTGGTAGTGATCTCCCCTAAACTTTCTCGAATATTCTTATATAAAACAACAGGGGATGGTAACTGGGGATATAGTTATGATTTTTAATCCATTTTAAATACTGAAACTTTTAAAAATAGAATAGAATCTCAGTAAAAAACAATTGCGCACCAAGCGAACGCCTAATAAAGGTGTGTATAATGGTGCGCAATAGTATTAGTACTTTAAAAATTTACATTAGTTTTTTGAGAAATCGGAAGTAGCGTAAATTACTACTTCCAGTCAACGGAAATTACTCAAAATTTAACAGAAGGTAGAGAATTAGATCTTTTACTTACATGTGAAATTTCATTTATCTATCTGAAATAGTACTCAAGTTATAGGCTTTTGAAAAATTCAAAGTAGAAAAAGTACCACTTCCGGTTGTCGGAAATCGCTCAAAAGTTGATACGGATCTACGATTTTAATATAATACTTATATATGAAATTTCATCAACCTAGCTGTAACGGTACTCAAGTTATCGTGTTTACACACGGACAGACACACACACAGACAGACACACACACACACACAGACATACGGACAAGATTGCAAAATTATGTTTTTCCGTATCAGTGAGGTGTAAAACGTCGAGATTTGTAAAAATCTCGATTTTTTTTTTTGCACGATTACAATACTTTCTCTATACTACGTATATACGAGAAAGTAAAAAATGTACTTTTATTTTAGGAGGGAGGTAACTAGATATTATAAATTTACGTTTTTTTATTGCTGTATTGCCTCCCTTCGTCAAGCAAACAGCATCCATTTGATAACAATTTTAATTTTAACATGCATAACTTGGCAACAGAAAGAATAGTTTGTCTAAACTGTAATATAAAAAACAAGTTAATTAAAAAAGTCTAGTGACATTTATGCGCAATTTCCTTATGTTATCTAAAAATAGCTCTGACGTATAATGCTGGGATGCGTTCAAGCTAGAAGAACAATCGGTTTGTAGGTGTTTTTGTAATTTTAAAATTTGTGACCAAACGAGAGGATATTTTTGAAAACTTTCTTCGGCAATATTGCTCTAAATTATGGCAGGAATCGATTGGTACATGTTTCAAGTCGCTAAGTGGTCTGGTTGACGAGATATGGGCCAAAAACTGCTTTTTTTCGAGGTTTTTTGGCTTTTCCGGGAAATACATGAAAGAAACCCGGAATTTTTATGGCCTATGCTCATTCTTGTAACTTGCTTAACATAATTGCTTTTGGAACTAGTCATCGATATTGCTTCGTTGAGGAGGAGATACGACTTAAAGCCCGGACACACATTCATCCATACATTCATCCATCCATCCATCCATCCATCCAGAAATGACGCGTTAATAAACGCAATTCTCCAGAATGGAAATTGCGCTAAAAAATTATTACGTGTTTCCAGAAGAGCAGACCAATCAAACAGCGTGCCAATCAAAATTTTATGTTGAACAACATTAAAAACCTAGTTTAAAATTAATTACTGCTGCAGTCAGCAAAATACTAATTTATTTTTTTTTTTTTTACTTTTGACTAATACACTCAACTTGATTCAACAGATGAAATTCTCAAAATTTTTTTAATTAACTGAATTTGTTATTGCTATTAAATATAACTAATGAGATTTCATAAGGGTTATCTTCAAGACAGATATAAAATTATGGCTAGATTTAGAGATTATGCAGCATACAGCTTTATAGCATACAATGTGTATCAACTAGCTTTATAGGGTTTTTTTCCGAGATTTTTTTTTCTCCCGGGGGGGGGGGGGGGGGGAGGGGGGAAGAGTCACTTAAAACTTTTTGGGAGGGGAGCATTTAAAGTTTCTAGCTATATACAGAGCACAATTAACCGCTGGAAAAAATATGTAGTTTATTATATAAAACAAAAGATTACTATTAGCCCAGAATGCATGAAATGTTCCTGTTTCTACACCTAGAAATACCATTAAAGTTTGCGCTATTAAAATTTACTCTTCTCAACCTGACAGGTGAAGTGGAGTTCTCCTGTTTCTGTCACCTTGACATACGGACGGATAGTGTGGTCAGCACTATGGCCGGCTAGCTTTACTTTCCCTAACATGAGTTATCTCACAAACTCAAGCCCAGGATCTGAACTTCAGACTTTTGGTTTAGCAGTCATACACTCTACTGTACAGCTACGCCATCCCAAGCAATCAAATAAAAATAAATGCAAACTTTTTTTGTGTGTATTTTTATTGACTCAGCACAATTACATTTTCTTTCCTACAGAGATCGAATATTGGAAATTGTATTGATTTCACATAGAGGGGCTAACCTGACGGCTAACACAGAGACTATGTAGTTTATGTACAGCACATTGACTACAAACTTTAACCACTGGTCCAGTAGATGGATCCATAAATTTTACATACAATTTATGGAGTTACACCTTTTGGCATTATATACAATGTTAAACAATTTTTTTTTAATTTACCTGTTCCCCTCCCCCTAATCAAATAAATCCATTTTTTGTCAGTGTGCATTAACACTCAACATACAATATCTCAATAAAATGTAGATCAAAATATTTTTTATTTTTTTTCAAAATTAAAACATTCGTGGAAAAAATATTTTTTTACCCTGTAGGACTACCAGATTTAGCAGTTTTCTTTAAATTTCATTTATTTTTATTTCAGCCAAATAAAATACTATAGAAAAATATTTTTTGTAGCCAAAGAAAAAATTAATTTGGCATTCAATATTTTATTTAAAAGGCATACAACAATGAATTAAAACTATTGCATTGTACAGACATAAAAAAATATTTCATGTTAAAATTCAAACAAGTCATCCTATCTTTAGAACAGTTAGTAAACATATCAATCAATTTATATTTCTAATATTTACATAAGAAATTGAATGAAAAACAAATTAAAAACTAGTCCGTTATTTACATGAAAATGGCGTAAACAAGCAGACGACTTGCCTGAGCTGCCGCCTATTAATACCAAGTCAAAAAGAATCTTTCTCAACAACAGAACATCATATTTATAAAGTTTAACTATTTCTTTTATTGTGCAAATTATAGCAGCTTATTATACCAAATTTTAGAATAATCAGACATTCCATAGAAAATAAGCTTGACATAAAATAAACACAAGCCAAATTGTTTTATAAACTTGCATTTCATTCAAGGAGAATTTTGTATTTTTGAAAATGGAATAGGAAATTTAGGATTGAATTTTTTTTTATACAAAACATTAGCAAAGAAATTAAAAGCTATCATTACAATAACTTTCCAACCACACACACATACACAATGATTGATTCTAATAGCAGTAATGCTTATGAATAAGTAAAATGATAGTTACATCTAAACAGTCCTTAGAAAAGTTCTTTGGATTACAATTGGATTACAGCATCATTAATAGTAATGTTTAGAAAATCATTTCAGGATGAATTTTTATTAAAATGTTCTCATAATGTGGTATATATTTTCTAAATTTTTGGTTTCTAATTTCTGATTATCTTACGTGGCAACCCCGTAACAGTTTATGAAAGCATGGAATACAAATTTTAAAAAACATACAATATCTTATCACACAATGCTTGCAATGCAAATGTTTGTCTATTTTATAAGCAAAAGACTATAAAATATTAAAGCAGTGCTTTAATTGACTTAGTAAAGATCAAGCTCTGCAGGCTGTTAAAATACAATGCAAAACACTGCATACACAGAGGTGAAATACTCATAGAACTGCATGGGCAATATTAAGACTAACTCCACTAACATTTAGATAGTCATTACAAAAACAATATACTTGGTGTAATTAATTAAGTATTTTAAGTTAAGATTAAGTCAAGTTTCTAAATATTTTTTTTTAACATTAATTTTTAAATAATGTGATATTGTTAACAAATATGGTAATTAAAAAACAACAACCCAAAAGCCCAATTTAGATAACTAGAGGTAAATTATTTATGTGGTGAACTATTTTTTTTTACTTTTCATTCTTGCAGATTTTTCTCAGGGTCTCAGTGAGATTCTTGGTGATGAGAACAGAAACTTTGTGCCTCATGTCATAGACGCTCTCTTGTGTCTGAGGCAGAAAAATACAGTTCTTAAGCCCCAGCAACGGCGTTTTGAAAGGAACTGGCTCCTGGTTGCAGTCATTAAGCCCTGCAGCCTTGATATGCCCGTCCCTCAGTGCTGCGTACAAGTCCACGTAGTCAATGGACTTCTCCTCGCTCTGGGTTGTTATCAGGATGGCTTGTTTCTTCATTTTTTTGAAAGACTCTCGGCAAAATACACTTTCAGACTGGGCTCCGGATGATCCACACACGCAAATAACATCGGACATACTCAGGAGGTCGTCAAAGGAGACAACTTTGCAATCAGCTTTGAGAATATTCAAATTGGAGTTATCCAGCTCCACATCCTTGTCAGCAAACAGCACCTGCGTCACGCCAATATTCTTCAACAACTTGACGACGCTCTTTCCCAGTTTGGTCATTCCGTACACCCCAAATGTTTTTTGGGCAATGTTTCTCCAAGTGGGACAGTTCATGTTGCCTGGTTTTCCGTTGATCCACTGGAACGCCAGTCTCTCCTCGGACTGTTGGCGCATCAGGCGAGGCCTGTTGTTAATCCATGAGCTAGTGATCTCTTCTGGTCTGTCTGAAATTAGGTCAGGAACATCCATTTGCAGTAAGCGCTCTTCATCTTAAAAAAGCAACACATATTTTTAATACATAATTTTAAAACAAACCTACATATTGTTTATTACATAGCATATTTTAAAATATTTCTTTTGCAATCTTTTCTTACAGTTAAACATTTTATATATTAATTTTAATATGTATATAGCATTGGTAACAAAGAAATACTTAATTAAGATATTTTAAATTTAAAAATAAGGAAGATGAAGTAGAGTTTATCTACAAGGTTTAGAGTAATGTTAACTAAAGTAAAATACACTAACATACCAGTCTGCATTTCTTTAATGGTCAACAGCATCAGGGCAATGGTCAGCTCAGCTAAGACATCAGTGGGCTGTTCTGGACAAGTGATGACCTCGATCCCCCTGGCTAGGCATTCCTTGATGTCAATGTGTGAGGTGCCAGGGGTTATGGTTGCAATAACACATAACTGTGGGCCTGGAAGAACATAAGGTAAAATGTGTTAAGTTTAACTTTTTAAAAATTAAAAATATACATTTAATTTTAAAAAGATTTAATTTTACTTTTAGTATAATCTTTTCACCTCACACATTATTCATTTTAGTATAAATATAGTTTACAAATAAACCTAGAAGAATCTAGATTCTTAGTTCACCAGATTATAAAGTGATAAAGTCTGATTGGTTTTAAAAAAAAATGCATAGGCCTATAAAATATTTTATTAGCAATAAATACGAATGTTTTTTTAAATTCCATAACATAATTATTTTAAAGATTATTATGTTGATTCAGTGACAATAAAATATTTTAGGATAAAAAAAACTATCTATAACTCGCACATCACTTTTATTTTAAAATATTTTATAGTCTGTGCAAATATAACTGCGGCATATAAACAACTGTATTTTAAGCGAATTACTTCCCTTTTAATAACAGTATTTAGCCATGATTTTTTCATGGCATTGGGACCCATTAATTATGGTACATTTTAAGAAACCAACAAATGATTTAAAAGCAAATATTAAACAGTTTCCAAGTTAGAGAGCAGTTATTTAATCTTTATTTTTACATTGCACTTTTTTCAACTTTTGATACCCCTTTTACATGTTTTAATTCAAATTTAAAACCAAAAGATTTTTTCTCTTTCCCTCACATGTTAGCGTTGAGTGGGGAGGACGGGTGTTCAGTGAGAACCAGTAGGGGTGTAGGCCTAATGTACGGATAGAGTAGTGTGTGTCAAAGGTGGTGTTGCTGAATGTACTGTGTTCATAGGGAAGTGCGTGTAATGAATTTTGTGTGTAATGTGTGAATAGAATAGTGTGTGTGAAATGTGGCGTGTACCGAATGTACTGTGTAATTCGTTAATAGCCAAGTGTAGGTAAAATGTCATGTGTAATGAACACAGTGTGTACTGTGTGAATAGAATAGTGTGTAAAATATGGTGTGTAATGAATGTAGAGTGTGAATAGAGTAGTGTAGGCAGGGCAGGACTAGACTAGACACATGTCTAGAAACCAGTATTTTAATGAGACAGGTAAAGCCTACTACAGAAACCAGTAACCTATTTTAACTTGACACGTCCAGAAAATAGAATTTTAACAAAACCTACATTCCATTAAACACATAGGAAGTAACACTAAATCAGCTTAATTTTCGTTTTTAAAATGGTTAAAAACAAAACAAAGTTTTATAATTTATTTTCATTGTTAATTTTTTTTTTTTTTTACGTTATTCGACCGTAGGCCTACAAAGTTTCTTTAGACTGAATAATAAGGGCCAAAATTTAACAAAAATCACTCATGACTTTGTTCAAAGTTTGAGCTAGAAAAATCAGGGATGGAATTGAAAAACCAGCCAAGTCGAGAAATGTTAAGAGATTTAGATGGTAGATCTACCATCATCTAACCTGGTATCATTTATTATTTAAGATGGCGTATTTTCTTCATTTATAGAATGGTGTGTGCTGATCCTTTAAAAAAAAAATTAAACTGTTTTACCCTCACCCTAACCCAATTTTAACCCAAGCCTCAACATGAGCCCTGATCACACTCAGCCTTTATCCAAAAACCACACCAACAGAAGAAAGAGAAAAAACGCGACATAACACCGGTAATGTGGTCTTGCCGGCGTTTTTATAAGAACTGTAAAACCTAACGACTGTAAACCCAACTTAACTACTGACTGACGAGATTATTTTCTAATTTAAAAAAAAAAAATTTGAAGTAAATAAAAAGTCTCCAAAAACAAATTCAGCCCAAAAAATATCGTTCAGTAAAAAACAGTTTTCACCAATAAACAAGGTCACACTTAAGCATGTCTTCTATTCATACTTAAAAATAGACACATCAGCTGTTCGGGACAACTGCGCAAGTAGTATTGCGCAATGTAACAGCTTTTAACCCAAGGTTAAATTATTCTACGTGTTAGCCGAATTTTTTCCCCCTGGGTTCGTGACTGGTTACAACTTACAAGTTGTTTTATCTGGCCAGGCGTGAAGTGGGTGTGCGCCAGCTAACCAACCAGGGCGCACCAGGTCTTAAAATAAGTTAGTGTGGCGTGTATTCGAAAATAGATAGACCGGTTACATCCGCATTATTTGAGAGCTAGATCTACTGTTGAAATTTTAAACATACAAATCCAACTTTAAAAACTCGAAATGAAAGAATTTAAGTCTAAATCTTCTTCGGTTGCTGACCGAGTCTGCACAGATGGGAAAAACAATGACAAGTGATTCTCTTTGGGGGGGGGGGGGGGGGGGTGTGGTGTCTTCCTTATTGGCCTAGAACGTCAGACTACTTGGAGAAGTAAAGGAAAACGGGCTTTTGTGACAATGTGTGACGAGAAGAGGTCATGGAAGGGGGGGGGGGGGGTAAATGTGTGACACTGCCCTTGACGTTTGATTTAATTGATAAACATATTTAAAATGAATTTTGGCTGTACTTTTTAAATTTTATTTTGCATTTTACATAGGTCTTCTTGTGAACTGGAATAAAAATTGACGAATTTTACAGACTTAAACCTAGCTCCATGGACATACTTTAGAGTTAGAACTCGCCGTTTCTTTTTTAATTTTAAAAATAAAAACTATATGGGAGGGGGGGGGGGGGGTAAAGCTAAAGTGTGTCGTCCTTTGTGGGTTCTGTCTTTTTTTTAACGATGCGTGACGGTGAAAGAAATCGTCCCAAAAAGCGTGACATCATTTATGGACACCCCCCCCCCCCCACCCCATCACATCACACACAGACACACTTTCTAGTTGATTTTTCAACAACAAAAAAACTTTCGATACAATGACGTCGGTACATATTTTTTTCTGTAAAGGCAGAGTGTTATTTTTAAAAAAAATCTCACCCCATTTTTTTTGGGTGTACGTGATATTTGTTACGTGTAGAAGCAGTCATGTGTAAACTTCTGGCAAGAGATCAATAAAAAACTGTAACGGGAGAGAGAGAGAAAAAACGGAATTCAAAAGTTGGCCCGGGAGATGAACTAGTTGCAGTCATGTGATGACGTCAAGCAAGATGGCCGCGATCGGTAATTGAGGAAAATGTAAAGCTGAAATGAACGCTGCTTTTTTTTTTAAAACTGAGTTAACATCGATTAACCTTATTGCTCTATACTGAGTCTATACGGACGTCCTTCTGTATAATGGGACTGTAACTGGATTTTTAAAACATACAAGATCTCTTATGTTTGTTTCACCTTTCAATGGCGCTGACTTTATGGGGGAGGGGGGGGGGGCTTCTAGTTTTTTATATTGTGACGGTTTATAAATGGTTTCATGGCATGAACAGCGCGTGTTTTTGACGGTCTACACAATACTAATTATCGCTAGCCTACATCCAAAATTATGTTCTTGCCCCCCCCCCCCCCCCCCATAAAAAACTGCTCCTTCAGCTTCCCTAATAAAATACTCGTTATCAAAGCTCTACACACACACACACACACACACACACAAAATAAGTGAACAAGTACCACAGCTTAGCCCAAACCTAGGCACCAGAGCTTAACCTAAAGCGTATTGTCTTCACAGTATTCACCCAAAACTCAATGAAACCAAACTCCTACCCAAAACTGTGTCTTCATAAAAATCATGGCTCCGTAAATAAGGTACTAGGTTTCAAATATCAACCAAATAAACCATAGTACTAGTACCACACCACCATAAAATAAAAATATTTCCCCAGGGGCGTAGGCAAGGGGGGTTAGGGGGGGTCATAACCCCCCCCCCCCCCATAGACCCCTCGGTATATATATAAAAAGTATGAAGGGGGGTGCAAATCGAAAGTTTGAGGGGGGTGCGAATCGAAAGTTTGAGGGGGGGGGGGTGCAAATCGAAAGTTAGTCCCCGGGTAAAAAATTGGAACCCCCCCCCTTGGGACGATCCTGGCTACGCCACTGTATTTCCCCCAATCCTAATCCCACTGAACGCAGCAAAACAATTCATTTAAAACCGGATTCAAACACGGAACAAGAATAGCAGAAGAAAAAAAAGGCTCAACCTAAATACCAGACCACTGGGTAAGGTGAAATAAATAACGTGAATTATTTTTTTCCAGAAACAGAAGAAAGGTGGGCTCGTTCTAGCGTGTCTGCCATTAGTGTCAATGATTCAACCAGAGGGTGTTGTGAAGTGCTGTGACGCCGAGAGAGGGGGGCCGCTTCAGGCGGTACCACAGTGAGGGCGTCATGAGAAGCGATGCCAGAATACAATCTAAGCTTACATTTAAACATTTATACAAATGAATAAACGACTATGGTGCGTCGTCCCCCCCCCCCCCCCACCCCCCTACGTACGTGCATGTCCACAGCTTCGGACGAAATAGAAAGATGTATCATTTATATAGAAAATATACTTTAACAAGTGTCCGCGCCTTCTCCCCAGCGGAGACCTCAGGTCCCTTCCCCCCTCCCCCTCCCCGGAAATCACAAGAGAACCCCTAATGGGGCAACATTTTGAATGATTGCATCATGCTGGGGAAAAAAAAAAACGTCAATCTTAAAACAGTGAGTGAATGCAAGTGTAAGTGTATCGACCGTTTACCTGCTGTTCACAAAATAACTTGTGTGGACTATACAAGCTGATGTTGAAGATAACAAAGAAAAACATGGCTGTGTCTGAATGGCAAGTAAAGTATGTGCATATTGACATGGCGAAAGGGGGGGGGGGGGGGTGTCTTCGTCCACTAAGCTTTAAGTGACAATTATCAAGGAACAAAGAGGACACCCAGAACAACAACAAAAAAAACAGGATTAGGACCTCACACACTACGCATTGTAATGTTGTGTTTTTTTTTTCAAGCCAATGGGGACGTATTTGGGAAATAAAACAATATTTTTTTTTCCTTAGCCAATTGGAGATCAGTTAACAAATACACAGCATCTCTACCAGCCAATGGTAACAGTGGTCAGAAAACAATCTGTAAGCAACAAAATAAATTGAAGGTCCTGGTGTTCAGAATATGTATGTGACGGTG